GAAATTTCTCCAGATTACCTCAACAAATTAACAGCTAGAATGCCAAAGGTCTGCAATGCTGTAATTGCTGCAAATGGAGGATTCTTTGACGAAAGCAAAGTTTGAAGGAAAAAATTATTATTTCAAATACAAATCATTATTTCTAACCTTGTCAATGTCTTTACTATATTTTCTATTCATTTTACAACTCATGGTGGTAAATAAGTGTGACTTTTCATGGAAAACACAAAATTGTCTGGGTGACCCCAAACTTTTGAACGGTAGTGTATATATTTTTGTTATATTTACATTGGTGAGACGATAACAAAACAATAAAGGTCACAATCATTGTCGTGACAATTATCAATTATTTTCTCTATTCTATTTCATGCTTTTCTTCAATCTTCCTCATACCTTTTTCTTTTACTGTTTCCATTGTGCTTTGTCCTCTGTCTTTTCCTCTTCTGTGTTCACTTTACCTTTGTCATCTCCTTAGCCGTTGTCATCTTTGTGATCATTGTTGCTTTGTCATTGTCTTCATCTTTTGTGTAATTTTATAAAATTTTAAAACAAAATAAGATAATGTTCCTTATATTGAACTAACTTGGTCCAACTTGCTATTTTTGCTACATTGAAACAGTCAGTAAGAACACAGTAGAATGCAGGTGTTAACATTGTGCTCTCACTGCACAGCAGCCAGCATGGGTCAGCTGATTTTTAAAAAAACATTTCAATGTAGCCCATTGTTGGATACTGTCAGGCAGCAACATCTGGACATTTCAGCTGAGTGCAGAGTCAAAGTGGTGCTCAGACCAGGCACCTGGCTGTGAGTTGTGGATGGAAAGAATAACATGCCTTGTGCATAACAAGTACCCTTTACTTTGAATTAATAGGTCAGTGTAACAGAAGAATTCTAGGAAGTCCACAAGCAGCAGGAAGTCTAACAGAATTTTTTTTAAATCACTTTTAGAAATATTCATTTTGTGTATTAAAAACAACAAGTTCAGATATATGCATGCATATAAATTTACTAGTTTTTTTTAGTTTTTTTTAGTTTAACACTACAATTAAGACTGTCACATTAAAAAAAATATTTTTTTAAATTGTCTAATTTTTTTACCTGAATAATTACAATGTACTGTTGTTTCAAAATTATTCAACCCCCAGGAGGCGAGTAGTTTAGATTAAGATTAATTTGCAATTTGTCTGACATAAACATAACTTAAAGCAGCAGATTGGATGGAGGTGGACACCACTAGAGACGTGATCACAGATCACAACGTGACTCAATTTGCAGACAGCTTTACAGTGTTTTACCTGCATGTTGTTGTTCTCTGGTGACATCACAAACTGTCAGATAGATAGATAGATAGCGTGACCGTTACTTGACTTGTTTTCAAACACACTCCAGAGCACTTCAGGTTCAGGTAGCAGAGGCTGCTGCTGTGCTGGTGGCAGTGGGTGACACTTCCTACTGGATTTGCATTTACACAACACTGGTGTTATTGTAGCAGGCTGCCTTCCGTGAGGGCACTCTTTCTTTGGCTGTTTCAAATTGGTTGGTGAGCTGAACTGATAGGCTGGCCTCGTGCCAGTGGTGTGGGGATGATACTTTTAATGGGGGAGGGAGCATTCCTGTTTCTCCCCCAACCCTGCCTGCAGCCTTTTGAACAGTTCTATAGACACACAGGGGTATTGTGGGAATTCTATTTGTGCTCATTTTTGAATTACTTTTGTAGTATTTTTAAGGTACTTCAATTTGCCTTGTGCAGAGTTCTATATTGTGGTTGAGAACTCCTCACATCTCTGTTCCATATACAGTAGATACCAGTCATTTAAGGACAATTATTCAGCAATATCTGCTTACTTTTCACATATATACCATATACTGTATAAATGCATATCTAGCCTATCTTTGTTTTACATTTTTCCTGAGAAATGTGATACTCTTACATTTGGAGACCATCTTACAATTATGGCATTTGTGTCTGAGTAAGCCATTAGTCACTGTCTGCTGGCTGTCTGTGGTGGTTAGACACAGAGCGCCTGTGGTGTTCAGAGCTGTACACCCCCACAGTGTTGGGCCAAAATGTTAAAATAACTCTGTGTAGTGTATCAATTTAAATACTTTATGTCCATGTTATGAAATGTCTGAAATTATGTTAAAATTAAATTAAAATTACACCAGAACAGTTTTTTTAATTTACTAGAATAACCAGTCTTCTTCAAATCTAAACCTTTACACCTGCTACCTTTTACTATTTTCATCTTTTGGTTGTAATGGCAGATCTGCATGCTTTCACTTACATTAATCCAACCTATAAAGTGTGTTCTCCCACTGATGTAGATTTCCACTCAAAACATCATGATTCACTGCAAGAAAAACAGAATATTTTTTTAAAAAGTGATTTTTTTAGAAAAAAATGAAAGATGTAGCATCACTGCTGATAACAGCAGCATATATGAATAAGATCATTAACTATATATTGTTCTATAGGGTTTTTTTTATTTAATATATCAATATATACACAATGTGAAATGCGGTGATCCAAACTGGAGGCATATACAGACAATGCTTTCCTGATGCAAATTTATAATTTTGCATCAGGAGGTTTATTCTAGTCCTACTCTGGTAGCACAGCTATAAAAGCATCAGCCAAATTATTCTGTATTCAAATCAACCCAAGATGAATTTAAACATTTTAACCCAGAACATGATTAGATATGTGGCGCTTTGGCCCAGAGGCAATGTCTCTGTCATTGGTGTGGAACCCCAGGGTTCACCTCCTGGGCATGTTCGAATCCCGGTCAGGGCGATTAATACCTTCCAGTGGACTCACCACCCGCAGGAAGGTTTAGGTACGGTGCAATGTGATTTGGGTGGCGACTGCTGCCCCCGCAACCCGGTAACGGATAAGCGGATGAAAATGGATGGATGGATGGATGGATGATTAGATATCGGGTGACGTGTACATGTTCAGGCTAGCTCAGGGTGTGATACGGAAACACGTCCTCCTGTGACCTTGTCTTGAGGTCTCAGTTAGTGATGTGCGGATCGATCCTGAAATGTCGATACTTCCGATTCTGGATTTTTATGCTCTGAAATCGATTCTGAAATCAAAATATCGATACTTTTGATACTTACGCATTCTGAGATGAGGTGTATCCTAAACAGAAACATGGTGAAAAGTATCCAAATTATTGAGATGTTGTCTAAGTGACGCTCGGTTGGTGGGACTACTTCTTCTTCCGCCTGGGTGTGTGCGTCATGCTTAAGCACAGGGGCTCTACTCCGTGCTCTCACTCAGTCACTATTGATGGGAATTTCGGCTCTTTTTTGGAGAACCGGTTCTTTTGGCTCGGTTCACTGAAAAAATCCGACTCTTTCGGGTCCCAAATGGCTCCTCAGATTATTTATTTTATTTTTTTATTTATTTTTGTTTTACAAATAACATGTTTTCAGAGTTTGAAACATTGTTTTGACATATTTTATATGATTGTGTTCTCAAGGTTTTCTATTGTTGTGTTGACTGTATAGTAAATGAGGCAGCTACCTCAGTACACTCCAGAGTTTAAAATAAATAAATAAATAAAAACCTCAGCCTCGGATTCTTAAAGAAGCTATGATTTGAAATACACATGTTTTATTTAAAAGACAAATGATAAAATATCGATAACGGTATATGCGATACCAGCCCGAATTTTACTCGGTATCGGATCGGAAAGGAAATTGGTGGTATCGAACATCACTACTGTTAAGTTTCTGTATTATTTATGTTCCACAAGTATATCAGGGGAGAGCGCGGACGCAGTCCCCCACTACCAGAAATTATGCCGGAACGCAAAAAATAAGTCACTTTAATTTATTTTGATGTTTTTACAATTGTATTTATTTCTTTTCAGAGTTTGAAACATTGTTTTGACATATTTTATATGATTGTGTTCTCAGGTTTTTCTATTGTTGTGTTGACTGTATAGTAAATGAGGCAGCTACCTCAGCACACTCCAGAGTAAATAAATAAATAAAAAACTCTGCCTTGGATTCTTAAAGAAGCTATGATTTGAAATACACATTTTTTTTATTTAAAAGACAAATGATAAAATATCGGTATCGATATCGGTATCGGCGATACCAGCCCAAATTTTACTCGGTATCGGATCGGAAAGGAAATTGGTGGTATCTAACATCACTAGTCTCAGTGACTCTTTGAAGCTCGTGGTTGCATTCTGTTCGGCAACAATGGCCCGTGAATAGGCCAGCTTGCGTCAGTCTCACTACACGCCCACAGCGAACCCACGCACAACGCGA